TCCATTTCCAATCCTATACAAGCACCTGACCAGAGCTTTGGCGAGATCTGACTTTGAAATCATGGATCACAAATCTTATTTCATGTTCATGGAAAAGGGTTCTGCTTCTATTATTTGGAAATCTTTAGAAGGCAGATTTTAGGGTGCAAGGCCTTGGTCTTCACAGGTGGTGTCTGTGTGGTGGAGGCTGACTCCTGTCCTTTTTTCTCTTGTAGAAGAATTGAAAAATAGGCTGACTTTGTCTTTAACACTATTTCTGTGGCTGTAAGGCATTTTTATGGGAAATTTTATGGTATAAATGGATATACAGACAAAAAGATACAATTGTGATTTTTGTTGTCGATGAACTCATGAGATTTTGAAATCTGCCTGGATTTCACGTGTAAGAATTCTCTAATGATGACTTAAAATCTCTCCTTGGCTCCATGATCTCCAGCCTTAAAGAACAAAGTTCTTTGCCCAAAAGAGCAAAGCACAGACTTTTCCCCCCCCATTTGTCACAAGAGCAAGCCATGAACTGAAAAAGAGCAATTTTGCATTAGAAGAGAAGCCACTAAAAGATGCTCCTTCTCTTGAAAGATCAAGGAGGTGTGCAGGTTAGCGAGGGAGAGAATAATGCCAGGTTTTATCCAACACTGCAATTCTCTTTACAGAAATGATTTTTATATATTTTTTAAGAAAACACAGCAAAGCTTGCTGCATTCTTAACAGTTCTATCAAGGGTTGGATTAGCCCTAACAGCCCTGTTTCCACAGAATTTGAGGCACCAAAAAAAGGCTAAAGAGTGTTTTATGAGTTCCCACTGAAATGTTAACGTCATCTATCTGGAAATTTCAGATATAAACACTTTTCAAAGACATCACCAAAGCCATCATGGCTTGATTGCCATAACTGGTATGGAACAGAGCTCAGAACACCCAGGGGCTCAAGCCAGAGGGATTTATACATAAGTGCTTGCATCTGTAGGGTGTGTAAATTTAGGATTTTGCCCACGCATGTGCTGTCTGAAACATTTTACATATCTAAAATTGTTCCAGCCTTGCTGCTTAAAAGGCCACAAATACTTTAGCAATGTGCACAATATAAAGCTTCGGATTGTAAAGGGAGAGTGGCTGCACTTCACTAAATTTGCTGTAGCCTTGTACATTTTGCCGCACACTGGAGCCTCCTGATTAGCAAAAATGAGGTAGCTTTCAGGAAGAAAATGCAGAAGGGTTTTCAAATGTGCTTCTGAAGTCACTGCACTTGGTCAAAGTGAAAAATCTAATTTTGATGTGTATTGATAGGCTTCAGTTGTCATGGAGATCAGCAGGATAGGGAACGTCCAGTGCCCAAGGCCACTCAGCTTTTGGAATTAGCCACGGATTTGGGTGCAGCATCTTTTATCAGAGCAGCTTGCTTAGATCCTGGGAAAAATAATGGGTTTGGAGAATCAGAAAAAATTTCAGAAGTTTCAAATTGAGCGTTTGTGGTATTTTTGGGGTCTCCAACATGAAGGAGGAATTGAGAATCTGACTCCATGTTCTTAGAAGGCGAATTTATTATTTTATGTACTTATATTATATTAAAGAATGCCATGCTAAACTATACTAAAGAATAGAGAAAGGATACAGACAGAAGGCTTAACAAGATACTAAAGAAAAACTTGTGACCTCTTCCAGAGTCCCAACACAGCTGGCTGTAATTGGTCAGTAAGTCAAAACAATTTACATGTTGGATAAACAATCTCCAACCACATTCTCAAAGCGGCAAAACACAGAAGAAGCAATGAGATAATTATTGTTTTCATTTTTCTCTGAGGATTCTCAGCTTGCCAGGAAAAGAAATCCTGATGAAAGTATTTTTCCAGAAAATATGACAGTGACAAAAGTTAAGTTGGGACTATCCAAAGCAGACCATGCTGGCTATTTGTCCTTTTCCTCATGCATTGCTCATGTCTAAGTTTGCTGGTTTGAGTGCACTGCTAGACTGAAAGGGACAGAGCTGAATTTTTCTTCGTCCCCAAATCAGTTTGCACCTCTGATCCTTTGAATCAGTTACTTAATGTAAAGGTGAAGGTGGAGCTGAGGCAGCTGGTCATGCATCAGTTAACGTGAGACTGCAGGAAATGGGGAATAATTCTGACATCTCTGATCCTGAACGTGCTTTCAATTTATACCAAGGCTCAATGCCCAATGGTCTTCTACTTATTTTTTCTCACCATTCACACTTTTGCCTCTATATATGAGGACAACAGGAATTTACTTTCCCCTCAGTGTCTCTGTTTCTCCTTGCCATTGATTTATTGTGTCTCACTTCAGCAGCTGGCATTGATTCACATCCAGTAGGATTAGCTTTACATCTGGAGAATTTTTAGGCTGTACTCCAGGCAAGTACACAGCCTGAGGGAAGGAGGGGACGAGGAAGATGGTGCTGTCCCAGTGCAGAAGGTTTTTTGATGTGGAAAGACAAATTTCTTGTGAGGATCTTGTGACTAACTCTGTGTGCCCAAGGAACTGTGTGGTGCAGAGCAGGCAATCAGTTTTCTAAGAACAAACTGCCTGCCTTGGAGAGTAAAAGCACATCCTCAAAGGCCACCAGGCTACAGAGGCTTAATACAGAGTGAAATCTCAATGAAGGTTGTTGAAACAAATGTAAACAAGCTCAAGATAGGACCACATGTAAGGTTCATATCACAGTCTTAGTCCCACCTGTGTCATTACTGAGGGATTTCCAAAGTGAAATTCCTCTTTATATTTATATTTCCAATGAAAACATTGGAGTTGTTCAGCTGATTAAGTGCCTGCAAGCTCAGGTTTTTTTAACAAAGGCAGTGCTCTCTTTTTTCATGAAGGAGAGTTGCAGAGAAGAGTTGTACCATGAATCTGCAGGGATATTGTAGAACATGTAAGGCAGGTGAGTCAAAACAGTGTAACTGAAGCTTCAGAGCTGCAAATTATACAAACCCAGTGTAGTTACACTGATGCTGAGCTCTGCCAGCTGACAGGAACCAAAACCTGTCTGTAATGCTTGAAAATCCACTTCTTGTGTCAGCCTGGGACAACAAACTCTCTGTGGGCTTTGCTCATTTGATTTCTTTCAAGGACAATGAGCTAAATCCCATTCTCAGGTATTTATGCCTGGATTTGGATATGCACATTCTTCTTTTGAAACAGTAAAGTATTCAAAATGTTAATTTATGCAACAATCTCATTTTTCTCATTGAACATTATATTTTCTGCTGCACCTCAGTGATGTTACTGCACCTCCATCAGAATTATTCCACAGTGCACGACCTGGATCTGTGCTCTGCACTCAGAGACAAAAACACAGCCTGGGAGAACAGGAGCTCCAGAATTAATACAGGGCAAGGATCAGGACACAGAAGCTACAGTTGTTTTTGTTGGAAGAATTGTGCCCTCTGCTACCAGCTTTATTCTCTAGAGCACAGGCAAATATTAGGCTTAATCTCTTCATTATTTAATTCCAAGTATAGCAATGGTGTTCTCCTTCTTTTTAGGTCCACTCTGTAGAAGTTAGAAAAGGCAAGAATGAGCACTGTAGATAGGATTTATGGCTCTCTTTGACCATTCTATTTCACCTTCAAGCCTCAGATCTATTCAAGGGTCAGATTTACTGGACAAAACATTCCAGTAAATTCACATTTGTTAAACATTTGTAAAACATTTGTTTTTAACCACAGCATTGATCTGCAAGCAGTCATTCAGCTTCAGCTTCTTATTTTGGTGGCATTAGAAAGGAAAAGTAGAACTCTAGGTAACAAGACAACAAGACTAAGAATTTGGGATTTGTTTTTCGTTAAAGGCTAGAGACACAGTTTCCTTATTTTTTTTTTTAATTTTTTCCCCATGAAGAGCACAATTGTACTTTTAGCAAGACAGCAGGGCATCTACCTGGTTTAATAAATCAATCCTGCTGGGCTCCTTCCACAGTCAGTAGAGATCTACCCAGTCCAAAGACTAAAATCCTTTAGTACAACTTATTTCAGTTTAAACAACAAGTTCAAAATAGGTCAGGTAAATCTCACTTTATGGCCTGTTTCTCACCAAGCTGGCATGGGGTGACAAGGAAAAAGGCACACAGCTAAAAATTAGAGGACATACAACTAAAACACAGCTTTTCTGAGGAGCACCTGAGCTTACTCTGTGTCTGGATGAGAGGGTGAATGGCTCTGCCTGCACACAGTGGGTCGGCCACTGCAGAGATGGAATTGTACGATCGATTGTTGCTTACAGAGGAAGTTCTGTTTTCCAAACTGCTCCATCTGACCTGTAAGGGCGTGGGGTCTGTAAATTTAGTTGGTGTTTCAAAGGGAAGCAAGTGCAGCTCCAGGGAATCCTCAGCTCCTGAGCAGCAAGGAGAAGATGTCTTCCAGCCTAGAGAAGTACCAGCTGAGGGGAAGAGGGTGTGTGATATAAACAATATGTTAGACAGACCTACTTTTCAATTTTCTCCTCTCTCTGCCATACAATCTCTGTGCTTCCACTTTGGTTAACTTTCTACTGTATTTTTAATGCTTTATTTCATTGATTTATTTCTGCATTCCTTCTCCTGCTACTGCACAGCTGCCAATCCTACTCATGGTGAGGTTACATAGAATTACTCGAGCAGGGTGCACAAAGATTCTCCAGGAGGAGCGGTTTTAATTTGCATGAACCAAGGTCTACCTTTACTGCATTTCCCAAAGGATTCCCCTTCAGCACATTCAGAGACAAGGCACAAACCTCATCATTCCCCGCGTGTCGGTAGCGATCTAAATTCAGAACCCTGACCATTTTCATGACGGATGTACTTGGATAATGCAGCATAACCTGGATCAGCATGCTCATTTCCCTCCTCTTAAGCACCTCTGAGACTTCTAGAATGGAATTACAACTCCTTTTTGTGTTCTCTCTCATTCGCATCGAGACGCCCAGGTGTTGGGCGGCCTTCAGCCACATCATCCATGGCTCATTTCACCCCGGGAGTGTTTAACTTTTTCTTTCCCCTTCCACCCCTAGCACCCTCCCTCTTCCTCCCAGATGCAGCTGCAGTCCCTGCCCAGGACACTTGCGGTGAGACTCAGCTTGTTTGCCTTTAGCTGTCTAAAGTCTCGTGCTCGATCTGAGCAGTCCAGTCGTCGTCTATGGTCACTCGGGGACACCAGGGCACCTCCGTCAGACAGAGCATCCCCTGTGCCTTAGATGTCTCTGTCACACAGGCCAGCTCAAGCCTGGAAGTCCCTGCTCTTTCCCTGAGTGAGTTCAAGGTGACAGTTCAGTTTGGAATCTGTCTTTGGCACGTAGAGTTAGATGTGACCGACTCCGTTCTCTGTGTGCCTACAGAGGTCTGAGGATCCTGCCCTGAGTCGTGCAGTGTTTTCATAGCCATGCTCTCATTTTTATTCATTTTCTTATATTTGTCTATTTTTTTTCTTATATTTGTTTATTTTTTCCTCCTTCATGTTTGTTTTTTTTTTCTGGTTCCTGCCTCCTCTGTCTCTTCTCTCTTTTTCCCTTTCCTTCCACCAGCATCTCTACTTTGAAAATAAATAAAGTTTGCAAAATAAAAGGGGAGGGAGAAAGGAAACAAAATGTCTATAAATTCTGTACTCTAAAGATCTGGGACACTTAACACCATCTAAAATCAGAGAGGTGAATCTATCAAAATTAGAAATGGCAGAAAATAAGTGCTAACGGCGCTAAAATATTAGGGTTTTCCTAAGAAGTACTAGCATTGTTTCCCATCACAAACCTGTGTGTCAATGTCTCCTCACTGGGTGTGGAGCAGCAGTTAATCCATAGATAATATTTTCAAAATCAAGTCTGTTTTTTTCAATAATTCTAGTAAATACCAAGTGCTGTCACATTAGATCTCTTCACCAGGAAAAGCTATAAAAAAATCAATCCCTGTCAAATGAAACAGGACATCAGCAGTAAGGGAAACATGGATGGGAATTTATTTCTAGGTTGCCATGGCAACATTAAGTATATCATTGAAGACCACAAACCCTCTACAACAACCCACGGCTAAGACTTTTCAAAGTGATTATTGATTTTTTACATGTTTCCTTTTCAGGCTCTTTACCTTAATATGCCTTGTAAGTCCTTCTTTTCAACACAGGCTGAGCAGCCCTCTTGTGGTAAAAATTGGTCTGAGAAATGTGTTTCAGATCAAGTGATCAAAAAAATGAGTGGCACTCAAAATCCATAGTCACTTCTGAAAGCCTCAGTCACAATAAAATGGAACTATCCTTTAAACCTCCTTGCTCGTTTTTGATCAGTCTGAGTGGACAATTAATGCCCAACTCAGCTCTGCAAAAAGCAGGTGGTGCAAAAATCTAGCACAGAAATTCTAGTGCAAAAGGAGCAGTCATTTTCATCTTTACATCCAAAAAATGAAATTTATTTTATGAGTTGAAACATGGTGACTATATCCATTTGCTGGATGTGTGTATGTTTTCAATTCATCCTGGTTTAGAGTTCAGATTTATAAATTCCATGAGTTGTGAACACAGATCTTAGACTGCATAACAGAAACACAGTTGGGTTTGTTTGAACAAACTTCAATGTTTGCCTTGAAGGCATTTGCTTCAAAAATCAACTTTTATTATTCTTTATATTAATGGAGATTTATCCTTTATTACCTTTATATTAATTGAGATTTACTCAGGGTACTCAGTGGTGTTTGGTGTTCATCCCATCCTACAGTGGACATCTGAAACAGGTCAGATGTACCTGGCCAATAAATGTGTATTTCTCTCTCAACTGTTTATTCTGATGATTCTCAGGGTCCTGAGGATGCCCATTTTGCTTACACATCTGTACTGTAAACATCCAGCCTCTCCTGAGGTGAATCCCACCAAAACAACCACGTGTTGAAAACAAAACAAAAATTCTCCCCTTGAAAGTCGACAAGAAACCACTATTTTCAAATTTCATATTTTTTATCCTAGATATAAAATCTCTTATGGGATCCCTCCAAGTGCCTCCATGTTTCAGATTACCCTTCTGATTCATTGATTTAAATGAGCCTCTCCTGGCTGGTTGGAAAGGAACTGTTTTGTTCTCTGTTCCTCGAAACCAACATGCAGGGATCAAGGTCTGCTCCACAGTGTATGAGGCTGCTGCTTTGATGAGCACACTGTCTTAAAAAAAAAATAAGTGGTATCTCCAAAATTACCAGCCAGACATTCAGATTCCATACTGAGCTCCCTCCCCATCACCAAGGAAGATGGAAAAACAGCTTTGGTGTCCTTACTAGAACCTTTTGTTAAAAACAACAGATCCACACCGCAACGAAAATGAGGATTAGACCTTAGATTGATCCCCATCCTACGAGTTTCTGTTACTCTCTGATTGTTCTCCATGAGCATGCAGTCTACTCTCATTTAACCTATTGTTCTGTGACCCCCTGTACAAAACCAGACCGCGCAGGTCCTGTGTATTTCGGATGCGTTAGCGCTGCCCCCCTGCCCTCAGGGTGTTTGAGTTTTGGTTTGTCCGTGAATCAGCACATCACAACGGCCAGCAACAGCCAGTGCACTTCAATTTTTATTTGATTTTTTGATTTCTGCTTCAGTCAAGCAGCTGGTTCGTGCTGTGAGTCCATCCTGTCGTGTCCGCTTTCCATCTTTGTGAACGTGTCTCATGAAATGTGTTGAAAGTGACCTACCTTGGCCTGTTCACGATATGCTGAAAAAAATGCTAATCTTGTCATATTTAGCAGCTGCGTTCAGAAATGCTACTGTAAGCCTAAGAGGGCTAACCAGCACTCTTGCAAGATGTCAGAACTATCAACCATTACCCTGTAAGTGTACGCACTCCTGTGACATTACTGTGTGTGTATGACGCATGTTGCAGTTAAATGAGTGGATGAGAGCAGAGGGGAAGTAACCAGAGAGCAAAGCCTTCATTTAGTTCTTGTTGCATGTAGAATTTTTTTCTTTGTTCTTGTTCTGTGCTTTTGCCGATGCGCCACAATCGAGGATTTTAAAGTTGTTTTAATTTCTTCTTAATTTTTCTTTTTTTTTTTTAATTATGGCTGATGCTATTGATGGTTTTGGGTAGTGTTTGTACAGAACTAATAGCTGCTCTTTATTGTACAGCAAAGAGGTGAGCACCTTCATACTGAGAGAAAATGTTTCACCTGAAAAGTTTCCTAGAATAAACTGGGTGAGGTTGAGTCAATAAAATCCTCAGTGGGTATAAAACATCTTTTGTCCATTGAACTGAGTGAAGTTAACTTAATAAACACCCAGGGGTGAGGAAAGGCTATAGCTGACCTAATATCAAAATGAATTGTGTCCATCAGAAGTTATAGAATCACTGAGTTGGAAAAGACCTCTCAGATAATCAAGTTCAGTCCAATATTGTCAAATATCATCAAATATAGAGTGAGGCATCCAGAAGAGTGAATAAAAGCCATTCAGCCAAGAGTTGTGTGAATTAATCACTACCCCATAGTCCATCTGACCCCTTGCTCCTTGCACAAGAAGCCCACAGATTCATGGCATCATTAAGGTTGAAAAAGAGCTCCAAAATTATCCTCTCTTTTTGTTTAGTTAAGGTGCAATTTCAGATATCTATAATATGTTTTTGGTGATGTGTCTCCTGAATTTCACAACAGTTTTCTAAGTGTGAATCAACATTCTCTGAGGTGTCCTGGCACACAGGTGTCCTTTGTACACAAACCCAACTCCAGGATTTTGCTAAAGAATATTTAGTAGTTATCTTCAACACCATTAAGGAAAAAAGATTGGTTTGTAACTTCACTGGATATATGGTTATATTTTTAGTTTAGAAAAAAAAAATAAAGTGAATTTTCTGTGTGATTTCATATATCTTTGAGGTATTCAAGAAATAGAACAATGAAAATGCTGAAAAATACTCAGTCAGCAGACTGGAACTGTGCAAAAGCAGACAGAAATAGAGAAGACAAAAAAGGCAGCTCCATTTTCACCACAGATTGCTGCTGAAGACTAAGCACAGTTAGGTAAAACTAGGAGTTAGGTTTAGGAGGAGATAGTTTGAAATATAAAGTTCAGTGCCTAATGGACATTCTGATGCAGCACAGAAATCCTGTTGGGCCTTTGCAGAGAACCAAATTTTACATTAAATGCAGTGTTTCTGAAAGATGGGTGACTGATAACTCTCTAAGGTGAAATCCTCTACATAGTCAAGGGCAAGAAGAGTTCAGCCTGAACAGGAGATATTTAAACCTATGTTTTTGTGTCTGTTGAAGAATGAAAGTCTTGGTAAGCTTCTCTGTTTTTCAAGTCCTAGGTCTGAAGCTGTGGTTTATGCATGGGAGAATTAAAAATCTGGAATCATTCAGGTGTTATCTCAGGTTTTTTGGAAGTGATGCTGCAGACCTAGTTAACTTTTGGAAAAGATCTGTCAGGGAGATTACTGAGGTTCCTGAAAGTCACGTTAATATGTTCAGCATTTTGTGATAAAATAGATCCTTCAGTTTATTAAACATGAGCTGTGTTGAGCATTTCATTATAATGACATCCTGTGCCTTCATGGTTTGCTCTTTATCCTTCAATTTGAAATATTGTCACGATTCTTTTTTGCACAAATTTATCACAGGGATGATGAATGAACCTTTGGCCAGAGAAATTGGGTTCCTCTAATCTAAACCTCACAAATCTACAGGGCTGAAATTTTTTGTGACAAACTCAGTCCAGGGTCCCTTTGAGGTCAATGGATGGATATAGGATATGATAAGAATTTCCTTAGGGGCAGAGGATTTGTCCTTTTGTGTCAGTGATTCTTGCTCTTCATTGACAATAAAGGGAATTTAAGTCTGCATTTAATTTAACTAAAAATAGATGCCATCATTGCAGATATGTCACAGCATTAAGTTAATCAATATATACATAAATAGATGTACTCAATACCCACAGGGTTTACAACAGGAGTCACCTCTTGTTCAAAAGACATCTGTAGCACACAAGAATTATGTTTTAAAAGTGTGTTTTTCTCTGCATTGACTTTAGAGACATTTAAAAAATAATTTCATTATCAATATATACACTATATATGTCCAAACCTTGGTGAAGTGAATGTTGCTTTTCAGGATTGCACACCTTGATGTCTTCATTGCAAAAGTTTATATTTGATCAAAGTATTTCACTTAGGACAGCTTTTAAACTGGGCAATTCTCTTACTTTAGAGAGGCAGGACTAAATGGCAAAACAACCATATGATCTTCCTTCAGAGTCTATGGTTTGGAGATTTTTGCTTCTTTTTTGATTTTTTTCTCTCAAAAAGGTTCAGAGGTTGAGACTTCAGCAGTCTCCTTAATAAATGTGGATGTGCAATGGAAACATAAAAGCATGATTCTTACAAATACTGGTCAGATTAGACAGTGTTCTTATTTAGGATATCTCTTAGCATAAAGTTCTAATTTCATTATTCCATAGAGCAGTGAGGGAGAACAGAGGACACCATTATTTGTCTGTACTAACACTTAATGGAAAGTCCACATTCATAGCCATGCTACTGGAGAAAGTCTAATATTTGAAGTGATTTTAAGGAAAATAATAGGTGGAAAACAGAATGTCAGCCTCTACAAAAATTTATATTCAAATTGCTTTTTTTTTTTTTAAACTAACCTTAAAACTTTCCTCTCCCTATGGGAATGTGAGCAAGGCTTTTGCTAGATCTTTTGGAGAACATTATCTTCCAGCCACCTGAACTATTATTGATATCAGAACTTCTAGATCCACCCCCTCCAAGTTTCTTGCCTGTCTGAAAGAGTGGGGGAAGAAAAGAGGATTAGTGTCTTTGGCTGTTACACACCTGAGAATTCCATAGTATCCTTTAAGACTTTCATTCCCTGTTGCACAGAAACTTAAATATCTCACGGGACCTGCTTTAAGTCTTCTCTCTTCCCAATGTTCTTGAAAAAAAGCAAATTTTACAGGCATTAATGTCTCTCAAGGTTTTTCTTATCATTAAAATCTTCTTTACCTCTTTATTGATCTTAATAATCTATAAACTTCTGAATATGTTATTTAATGCATTTTCTTCCTCACTTTTATGACAATATTGAAGACAACACCTTAAATAAGTTGATGACGGCATTACATTTCCAGATCCTACAAACTAATTGTGTGATTAATCAGGTAGGATTAATGCCAGAAAACTGACAATAAAAAGAGACTTCCTCTGTATCTTCCCCTGAATTCATCTCCCAAGAGTGCCGTGAGACAGAACATACAAATAGACAATTCTATTCTGACTTTTAGATCAAAACAACATTTATCCTTTTGTTGTTGTTGTCCTTAAATCTGAATATAAATGATAGAAGATATGGAGAGATGATATTTTTTGTCCAGTTTATTACCTTCAACTTGTTTTATTTTTTTAATTCCATGACTACTTTAAGACACTTATATTCTTTACATCCCTTTTTACAGAGATAACGTTATTCTTTAATCTCCTCCTCGAAGTTTCTGTTCCTTTTTATTAACTTGATCGTATGTCCATAGAGAAAAAGGACTAGAAAGGACTCCAAAAGCTATTTCACACTGCATAAATTACTTTTCTTAGAGATCATCAAACCTGGACACTCTGAATGCTCTTCAACACCCTCTTCCCAGATTGTTCCTCTCTTTTCAAAAGATCTTGGCCACTGTCTAATTTTATAGCCCACAAGAAGAGTTTTCTCTGTTTTGTGGGGTCTTCCACCAAGACCTGAGGTTTGGTGTCCATCAGATTTATGGCTTGGGTGTGTTCAGTGCAAAAGTTGGGATGAATTTATCCCAATGGGGCCCAAAGTCTGACTGAGAGACCAGCATTGCACTCATGTCCCATTCCCAGATCACTGCTGGAGATAATTGTGCTCACAACATTCTTTAAAGTGTGTTAATTAAATCTTCTAAAACAACAAACAATCATTTTGGGTTATCACTGAGCATGAATTAGCAAATTCAAACCTGTGTGCAATGTACCAAATAGATAAAAGCAGAGGGGACATTTGAGTTTGAACAAATATGCAGCTCTTTGAAAAATCTTTACAGCTTTCTGCCTTCCTTTGTTCACCATCTGCCTTCTTCACTTACCTGAACATAACCAATGATATTCTTTCCCTCTGAAAATGTCCTGGAGGTTTCTTAGGTCACTTTGTTTGTAATGAAGCACTTGCTTTATTTTCAGAACATTTGCTTTCTCTTTGCTCATTTTTTTTTTTTGCTGCTCAGTCAGACAGTGACACTCACCAAAACATGCCCAAGTCTTTGCTGGCCCCTGCTTTGGGGGAATTTCACCAGTTAAATGCCCACATGTAAAATATTCATTTCCAACCCTTGGGTTTATATCAGCTGAGCTGAATTTCCCTCTGAAACTTCTTTATTCTGAAGCAGTGAAATAGTTAAACAGTGGAATTGCACTTAGGTTTCCAACAGTATAAACTGAGACCAAAATCAAACCTTCAGGAATAGTTGTGAGTACAAGAACATGCAGGGGGGTTAACTTTTATTTGTGGCTGTTGGTTTTTTAGCTTTATTTGTGTGGTTATTTTGGAAATTTTTTTGCTGTGCAGAAACATATTCACATACACACACACACACAGAGAAATCAACAAAAAGTGATTTAAAACTCTACTGGGATTAAGGGGAGTTTTAAATTGGGTGAGAGGTTTATAATTGTACCATAGCAGCAGTCTGAATCCCTTAGCAAGATTCCCCTCATTTTTTGCCATGGTAGGAGAAAATTCCTGCTTATAATAATGCAAATAAAAATAGCAGCAGTGAGCATTAAGCATAATTAACGTGCCATTACTGTAGCAGTGTGAAGAAGGGGGAGCAAACTGCAGTGTGTGTGCAAACAGTCTTTGGGAACAAACAGGAATGTTGCATATTTGTTTGTATAATTACGCGGTGTACGTATTTCCCAAAAGTCTGTCAGCAAAATATTTTCTGTGCTTTCTTCTTTAATTAAAGTGCAGGTTGCTAATTGCAAGGCTGCATTAAAGTTTATTTCCCTCTGTTGTGACAGGAGACTGGCTCGCTCCACCCTGCTGCTGATCCCTTTGTTTGGAATTCACTACACGGTGTTTGCCTTTTCTCCTGAGAACGTCAGTAAGAGGGAGAGGCTGGTGTTTGAATTGGGACTGGGATCCTTCCAGGTGATTACACACTGAATTCAGCTTTCTTTAGAACCAAACCACTGTTCTTTATAGCCACTTTGCATGCGCAGCTCTCAGAGTGTGTCTTTGCTCATTTATGTGTAGGTTTTGTATATCAGGATTTTGGGGTTGTTTGTTTACTTGTTGTGGTTTTTTAACTCCAGCTATTTTCTACCAAATGTTTTATTAAAACAATACCATATTAATCCTATATCATAACTATACTAAAGAGTTACTAAAAGATACTAAAGAAAAATCCATGACTGTCTGAGACAGCCAGGACACAGCTTTGACCCAATTGGCCAAGGAAACAAAACAATCCTCAGCAGACTCCAATTGACAAATCCCTTCACGTGAACAATCTTCCTAACACATTCCACATGTGCAAAAACAACAGGAGCAGCAAGTAGAGATAAGAATTGTTTTCTCTTCTTCTCTCTGTGCTTCTCCAGGAAAAACCCTGGGAGACAGAATTATGTCTCTCTCTGTTCAGAAAATGTGAATACCACAATTTTCTGTCATTCCTTCAGGATTTGAATTACATTTTTTTTTCTCTCCTATTTCCCTAGGGTTTTGTTGTTGCTGTTCTCTACTGCTTCTTGAATGGGGAGGTAAGATTTTTAATATAAAATGTCCTTCACTTGTCATCTACATCCCATTTTCTTGTGGGAGTAACTGCTGTTCCAATTGTCCATTCTAACTCTCATCTACCATAATCCCTGATACTTTAGTCTGAATCTCACAATTCCCAGGAAAAAAAAAAAAAAAAAAAAAAAAAAAAGGAAAGAATAAAGGATTTGTGATGTCTTTATCAAACCCAAACATTGGCCTTACCAGAGATGATGGCTAAGATTGAGGCTTCCTGACAGAGGTAGGATATGGACAGGTCTATCTTGAAATGGCATCCCAGGCACCAAATTTTGCACTGATTTTGTTGAATTTTGCCCTGTTCTTGCCAGCCCACTCTCCCAGCCTGTTCAGCTCTCTCTAAGAGGTCTGACATATCTCTGTCAACCCCAGTTTGGAGCCATCAGCCAAACTGGTGATGGTGCTTTCAATCTGAGATTCATCAGAAGATGGTGAGGGCCTGTCACAGTGTGCCCAGAGAAGCTGAGGCTGCTCGATCCCTGGAAGTGTCCAAGACCAGGTTGGACAGGGCTTGGAGCACCCTAGAGTATTTGCTGGGAAATGTCCTGACAAAGGCAGGAATGATAAATCTGACTCCATGTTCTCAGAAGGCTAATTTATTATTTTATAATACTATCTTATATTAAAGAATACTAAAATATACTAAAAAAACTGAAAGGATACAGACAGAATGCTAAAAAGATAGTAATGAAAACTCCTGACTCTTTCCAGAGTCCTGACACAGCTTGGCCCTGATTGGCCAAAGAGTGAAAACAACTCACAGCAGAATCCAATGAAACAATCACCTGTGGGTAAACAATCTCCAAACACATTCCACATGAGCACAACACAGGAGAAGCAAATGAGATAAGAATTGTTTTCCCTTTTCTCTGAGGCTTCTCAGCTTCCCAGGAGAAAAGTCCTGGGTGAAGGGATTTTTCCAGAGAATGTGAATGCTACACTGGGGTAGTGGAAGGTGTCCCTGCACGTAGCAGGAAGTTGAAGGAGATGACCTTTAAGGTCTCTTCCAACCCAAGCAATTCCATGCTCTGTGTGGAACAGTGTGGGGTCCAATATCAGTGATATCACCATTAGTGATAAGGTGCAAGGCTAAATAAAAACCATTGTTCACCTCTCAGTGTGGTCTCCTTCCCCTCTTGAAGATCATCCATCCACCCTAAATCTTTCCAGCTTTCCTAGGAAAAGGCTGAGGAGAACAATGGCAAACCCTCCACTGAAGGCTGAGTTTTCTTGGGCACCACCCAACTGGCACCAGCTTCTCTCCTGAGCCCTGCCACCTTCACCTTCAAACACAAACAGCCCAAGGGTGTCAGGTGCCCAGATTTCTTTTCCACCCCCCAGACACCACCTGGGTGCCTTGCAAGCCTCACACTCCTCTCAGCACATGGCAACTGCTGCTGGCCACATCCGTGGTTCCTTCTGGTTCTCCTGTTCCAATCTGCATTTCCCTGCCTGTTTAACTGACTGAATAGCTGAGGTAATTGTTTTCTGAATTGCTGGAAAAGGGTTCCCTGCTCAATGTTGCCCTAAGAGGAGCATGGAACATCGAGAGTTCATCCATGAACATCTAGAACCAAAAACGTCTAGAACAATGAACTCTAGAACATCCATAAACTCTGAGTGGAGGAATTCTCCACTGCTACACATCTCTTGTGCAGCCCAACAGCTGGAGTATTTTGCTAAAATCACCTTCTTTTCTTCTTTTCAAGGGGAATGACTGCAGGTATAGCCTGGCATTGCTGATCTCTTCTACAAAGAGGTCTCAAACTCCTTAATCCAAGTGATTCCTTCTCAGATAAACCACAGTAATCTCCAAGCTCATTAAACAAACTTATGGGTTGTCTTTGCTCATGGGCATAGTCAAGATCTCCTGAAGCCCCTTGGAAGGAGTGGGGGTGGTGGTTCTTTGCCAAACCAACACAACCAGGTTAATTAAAGCCATTTCCCCTCTCAAGATATCAGAAAACGGTAATTAGAGGATGTCTTGTGCCTTCACTAAATTTCCTACAGCAAGAAAATGTTGGAAATAGCACACTTTTACAGATTCAAATGCTATTCCCTTTTTACAGAGAAAATATAACTCAATTTTCTATCTATTTTTAATATATCTATGTTTTAGATAACTTTAACCCAAATAGGAATTTGTAGGTCTTAGAAGTTTTCCAGTTGGATTTTTCCTCCCTGTAGTTTTCGTCCATACAGTTGAAGCCATTGTTTAGCATTTTGACTAATGCTCATTCATTTTGACAATATTAATCCAGGAAAGTTCATCAATGGCTGTTACAGACAAGACAAACATCTTTGACACAGCAGCTCTATTGCAGATTGGAAAATCATATTGGGAAAACATATCTACATGTTTCCTTATTCTTACACTATTTCATTCAGAAACATGATACACGAATGAGTAATCAAGTAAATGTTGGTCCAAGCTACTACAACCTCTCTTATATTAAATCTTTACTACTTTATATATTTATACACTTGTGCACCCCCCAGCAGTGTTGTCAGCAAACTGGTAATGAGTGAAAAGTAGAAAAGCTGTGGGATTATTTACTTATTGCCTAATTGAACTTCTGATCTTGGGTTGTTTTACTCTTGGTGATTTACTGTGGGTGCCAATAAAAAAATAACCTCTCAAGCAAAGGAGGGTGGCACAGATCTACATTAATCCCAGAGCTGCTCTGCTTGGGGAGGATCTGAAAGCAGGAGGCAAAATTCTGTGTAAATATCCATCCATTAATGGCAGGTGAGAGAAGCTGCCTCTCAGGACAGGGTGTTTCAATATTATCCAGTGTTTTTGACTGCTGGTTTCTTTGGCTCCTTGCTGTATCTTTGGTACTGGCCAATGATGAAAACAGGCTATTTTTTTCTCCAGGTGGTGTTGATCAGGTCTTCCATGCACCTCTGGGCTGATCCTAAATTATCTGAACTCAGACACAGAAACTGGGCTGGGCTGTAGTTCCCCACTACATGCCCGGACCTTTTCCGTCCATGAAAAAGTAATTTCAGATTTTGCTGAACTGAGGAGTTTAGTAATAAATAACGGTTTACTAAACCTTAAAACCAGTTCTGTCGAATTGTGGGGTTTTTTCTAATCTTGATAATTTGTCAGCATGTCCTCGAGCGGCTAAGTACATAAAAAATGACCTTTTGAAGTTTCTCCCTAAAGGTGCAATCAGAAATAAAGAGAAAATGGAGGAGCTGGAAAGTCAACCGGTATTTTGCTGTGGATTTCAAACATCGCCATCCTTCTCTAGCGAGCAGCGGAGTGAACGGGGGGACACAACTCTCCATTCTGAGCAAGAGCAGCTCTCAGATTCGGATGTCCAGCATAAATGCAGAGAATCTGGCGACATGAGCAGCTGAGGAGAGCAAAGCAACCAACGAGCAAACCAAAAACCATCCCTTGAAAAGGAAAAAAAATGAAATAATAGTTTTGGTGGTGGTGCAGGTCTCGTTTCCTTCCATTTCCCTTTCCTCTTCCTTTCCCTTTCCTCTTCCTTTCCCTTTCCTTTCCTTTCCTTTCCTTTCCTTTCCTTTCCTTTCCTTTCCTTTCCTTTCCTTTCCTTTCCTTTCCTTTCCTTTCCTTTCCTTTCCTTTCCTTTCCTTTCCTGTCCTTTCCTTTCCTTTCCTTTCCTTTTTCCTTTTTCCTTTTTCCTTTTCCTTTTTCCTTTTTCCTTTTTCCTTTTTCCTTTCCTCTTTCTTTTCCTTTCCTCTCCTTTTTCCTTTTCTGTTTTCCTTTTTCCTTTCCTTTTTCCTTTCCATTCTTTCCTTTTTCTTTTCCTCTTTCCTTTCCTTTCCTTCACCTTTCCTCTCCTTTTTCCTTTTCTTTTCTGTTTTCCTTTCCTTTCCTTTTTCCTTTCCTTTTCTGTTTTCCTTTCCTTTCCTTTTTCCTTTCCCTTCTCTTTCCTTTTTCTTTTCCTCTTTCCTTTCCTTTCCTTCACCTTTCCTCTCCTTTTTCCTTTCCTTTCCTTTTCTGTTTTCCTTTTTTGTTTCCTTATTCCCTTTCTTTCTCCTTTCATTTTTCCTTTTTCCCGTCCTTCTCCTTTCCTTCTCTCCTCTCCTCTCCTCTCCTCTCCTCTCCTCTCCTCTCCTCTCCTCTCCTCTCCTCTCCTCTCCTCTCCTCTCCTCTCCTCTCCTCTCCTCCCCTCCCCTCCCCTCCCCTCAGAGGTGAAAAAACAAAGGAAATGTGTAAATATCTCTTTTTAACAGTCACTGTAAATACCCAGCTCTACTCAAGGCCATTAATGGAGAATGTTTAAAAGACAAACAAGAGGCCAAACCCACCCACTCAACTATTCCCATTTCAGAGCATCTGCGAGTAATCCGTGTCCGTCCAAAGTAACAAGTGATTGCTGTGCAGTTGTGATCCTTGGCTGCCAAACTGATCCTACTCTGTGAATGGAGTCACTTTTCCACTTGGTTTCCATTTTAGGTTGGATTTGCCTATTTTTTGTTTTTCCCTAGTCCAACATGTCTTAGCCTGTCCCTGTCTTTTGGCACGTGAATTTCCGCAGTGTTTCTCTTTGGAGCCTTAGGATGGAGCTAACGTGCTTGGGTTAATCAATCCAGCTTGGTTCAGGAGGATCTCCAGAAAATTGAGCTCATGGCTGGATTCAGACATCCTCGATGGATTTAGAGGAACAGCTGTGCCAATACCAAACTGCACATCAGTGCAGGAACTTCAGGCAAGAGCAATGGGATCCGCTGTGCTTTCCATACCCAGGGACGCTCCCAGCAATGCTTTCTGTTCTAGCTAAGCTGTGAATTTTCTAAAAGGGCCATGCAGTTGAGATATAGCTCTATTTTTGGCATTGATTGATAGATTGATCATTTGGACTCTTTATATCACAAATAACTGTCCCTCCCCACCCACCTTAAGAACAAGAGGCAGTTCCAGGGTGGCCTTTCCCTCCAGATGATCTTGAACCTTCTGCTCCAGTGGCCACACGTGGCATTGGTGGCTTTGGGGGCAGTGCTGTCACACAGAGTGCCGTGCCTTTGCAACCTGGTTGACTTCTGAGCGCTGACTCTTCCCTGCCAGAGCAAAAAGGCACGAGAAGGACCTGGTGGGATCGCCCTGGAAGGTAAAAAAAAAAAAAATCACCTGCATTTGGTGAGGAATAAAACCAACTAAACTGAACACTAAGATGGCACGGAAGGAAAGGATAAAGACTTTGGATGACTTCCCACACCTGGCAGTTCTCTCTCTCTCTCTCTTGGGATATTCTGTTCGTTTCACCACCAATGGTCTTACTGCTTTTCTTGGAGAGGAACTCGAATGTTCTTTCAACCTTTGCCTTGTAGTTAAAGCCACGACTGCTACAAATCTACTTCAACCCAATGTCGATGATGTCAATTCTTAAGAATCTTTATACAGCGCAAAAAAAAGGCCTGAGGGCCGTCCTAGCGCTCCCTTCATCTTGGATTTATGAATTTATGAACTGAGAAAAAAAAATATATATATATCAAATATATATATATGTGCGTGTATGTGTATGCATATATTACAAACAAAGATGAAAATGGCATTTTAAATGTGAAGTTTTGAACTGAAACTAATAGTAACCAGGAAATTCAAAATTCAGGCTTGTTCTTCGGTGTTAGTTGACATGATCACAAACTAAAAAACAGAAAAAAAAGTGAAATACTTGGAATATTAGTGTCAGCTGAGTGTGAGCTTTTAATTTCACTGGTTTTTGTTAGTTTAAGTACAAAAGAAAAAAAGAGTTTTGATGTCATTTTAAGCAGAGATTTTTAAAGATAATCCTAGTTTACTTATTTTTAAAAGGAGAAAAAAAGAAAGGTCTCAGAAAGTTGTGAAAGAAATAATGATTATAATAATACTTAACACTTATATAATCCTTTATGGGAATATTCTGCTCTTGGCTGGAGCCATCTAAATGAATGTAAATTTAATTCCAAACAGACAGAAATGTTGTTTGAGGTCATATTGGTACAGGATTATGCTCTTAGGAGATGGGGACAGCCCTGTCATGTGAAATCTGCCGTGGCACAGAGGACCAGCAAAACAGCTGAAACCACTTCCATTGCACTCCAGGTTCATAAATGGGATTTATATGATCCAAACACCTTTTTTTCCCCCCCAAATCTACAACACTGATTTGCTGCTCTGAGAGCAGAATTTGTTTCCCTCTTCCCAGCTCTCTGCAAAAGTCAAAGTGTTTTTAACTGATAGATTGGCCCTTTGTCTTTCTTCAGATGCTTCTTAATGCTATTTTAGAATGTTTCTCCAGAAATCAGGTACTTTGTTGTCCAGAGAGTTGGGGAAAGGAATATTTATCAGGTAAAAGCATATTTGACAATTTTCTGTAGGATGGGCTTTCACAAGGATTATATTGCCAACACTGTAAATGTATTATTTAAAAAAAGAAAAAAAAGGCTATTTTTTGCATGAATGGCCATTAGCCAGTTTTCAGTCATTAACAAATTAGAATTTTGGAGAAAAAGATGTCAAATAACTGCCTCTAGCTGGGGAATTTTTCTTGTTTCAGCCCAGAGCAAGAAGGTGTTTGGATATTTTCTTTTTTTTTTTTTTTTTTTTTTTGCTGTTGTTGAAATTATTCTGAGCTTTCTTCTGGGTTTTGTTGTTGTCCTGGCCATCCCAGAGTGCTCTGCAGTTTGAGTTGGTGGATCTCAGTCCAGTGCCTTGTGGGCAAATGTCCACATCACCAAAACCACCCTTTGACCCTGCACACTGGAGACCAGGTCCTCAGCTAAATTAAATCAGTACAGAAAAAACTGCTGTTATTGTTAGAATAAACTGCTTCACCTGGAATTGGGATTTGTTCTCAGCAAATTGTTATTACTATTAATTTCTGGTGGTCCCAGATAGAGAGTCCAAGGATGGAAAAGTTGTGAAAAATTGGATTTGCTCCTTAATTCCTTGAGCCAATGCTCAGGAGTTTGGAGAGAAGTGGAGTGGAAATTTCTATTGTTGTAGACAATGTGTTTCTTGTTCAGTAGAAAAATTGAATCTGTTCACCAGCAATGAATTTAGCAGAAGAAATGGGATCTTCAACATATTAAATAGAAAATATATTACACAAAAAAAAAATTTAAAAAAATAAAAGCAAAACCGATTATGATTTTATTTCTCCGAATAAAAGTGTCCATGCACTGGCAGATTTGGCTTTTCCTGAGTCACTGGAACTTGCCCAGTGACCCTGGAAGGGAACAGGTCACACTGGAGGTGGACACAGTGATGGGATCCAGACTCTGATGCCATGGCACAAATGAGCTCTCCACAAATCTCTCCGTTGAATGTAAGCTGCAGGTGCTGGCCAGGCGTGGCCACCCCACAGGGGCCGATTTTTCCATTTGTTTCAGGAAGGAAGAATCCAACAGGCAGTTTGCTTCTCTGTGTGTGTAAATATCAACCGAGTGTAACAGTGCTTTGTTTGATTTTTTCACTGTGAAATATATTTTGGAGCTAGAAAGGCTGTGTTATTAAAAACAGTACACAATTAAAACAAAACAAACAAACAAAAAAAAAGTGTGCAGTGCTCCTTGAGCCATTTTTTCTACCATGTCCATAATGTATTTCCTGTCTAATTTTCTTATTTTGCTTTTATAAATGTACAGAAAACTTTTTTGTGCTGCAGGTTTTGTGACTATTTACTGTATCTAACCACTGTTTTGATTAATGACTTGTCAGTGTGGAGTGCTGGTACTGCAGGACAATTCACATCCCAAAAATGAAAACTACAACCTAGGTTGTAAAGGATGAGGCTGTTTCATTGCTGCATGGTGATGTCACCTCCTTTTCCTGTCACTTTTAGTGTTTCTGGAACTCAGAGCCCAGGGAAAGAACCTTAAATGCTTAGTTCTGGGAAGTTTTGAATCATAGAGGAAAACCACTCAAGTTCCTCTGCATTATTTAAATATTTGCATTTGAAAACCAGGTATTAAAATGGGGTGGTGGGAGAAGGGATGAAGGTAGGGGAGTCCAGAGGAAAATGCAGTTTGGAAGTTAAATCCAGACACTTTATTGGGTGTTTGGCTGCTCCCTTTCAGCATCCGTCTCTCATTGCACCTTAAGGACAGTGCAATGACAAGGCTAAATAACAACCAGAAGTGTCCATGAACTGATAATTTGAGTTTCCCTTTGCAAAGATGATTCTCCCTGGATTCTCTCCATCATCAATGGGAATGAAGTTCATAGAACCAACAACCAAGGCTGGAGGTGACCTTGAATGACAAATTTGGTCCAACCTTTCATGAGAAAGGGAGCCAGGATGAATTTATCTCACACCCTGCCCAGCTACCTCTTGAAAACCTCTCTTGATAGGGACCCCACCACACCTCAGGGGAGGTTGTTCCCATGAACGGCTGTTCTCACTCTAAAAAAATTCCTTTCTTATATCAACATGATCCCTCTCCTGGTGCAGCTTGTCACTCTTGTATTCTCCATATGGATCCTTGAGAAAAAGAGAACTTTCATCCTCTTTCTGACCACTCTTTTTGGTGAGGTCACCATTGAGGCTTCTTTTCTCCAGGGATAAATTCCCTTAGTTTTTCTTCACTGCCCCCATTGTCCATCCTCTGATGATCTTCATGGTTCTCCTTGTGACCTTCTCTAGTTTGGCCACTTC